CTTCACTTGTTTACATGTTGTACGCTTCTCATGTGAAGACTTGGATCTGGACTGTGCTGCTTCATAAATGTCAGAAAAAAAAAAACGTTACTTCATACATGTTCATAGACAGTGCCTGGTTATAGTACAGTACTGTATGGCTCTGAAGATTGATTGCAAGATTAATCCCATCAAAATGTTAAGCTTTTATAATCTTCTCATTGGACCCTTTAAACTCTCTTATACATTATAAATGCAGCTAAAAGTCGCTCTGACATATAGGTCACATACCTTAACACAGTATTACACCGGTTCAACAGGGAATATATGAAACTGTGGCATGCCACCAGACAATGAGCTCACTCAGGTCAATATGGGGCAACCTTTTATGGAATTTCTGTCCATAATGATTAATAAGGTGCAGTTATGGCTTTGTAAGTCATCAGTGGAATGCTGGAGTTGAGAAGATATCTGTTATCTGGTTTCATTACACCTGGGCCCGTGGTTTCTGCTTCTTAATTTTTTGTCATGTTTTTTTTTCCTCCCTTCCTTGTGCCATACAGTCTCTACTAATGAATAGCCTATTATTGATCAACGCAGATGACAGGGATGGCTTTGTTTTCTGTGTTTTTAATGGCTCACTCTTAGGTTTGAAGTATTGGGAGCTGCAGTGAGGCGATCTGCTGCCTTCCAATGGCTCTGTACTGCAGGGCCATTTGCCTCTGTTGTCACTCATGAACACAGTTAGGTGTTAGGTTAGGCTCTTGTAATCCTGTTTATGTTTTTGGTCAGTGGTAAGCCCCCCCCCTCTAAGCTGGCTTTGTGTCACACACAGCTGGAAAGGCCTTTATAATTTCACCGGAGCAGAAATAATTGGCCCGGCAGCTTGGATGCAGCAATGAGACACAGGTAATTTGCTAATTTCAGCCTCTCAGCTGGTGATATCAGTGCAGAGAGCTGAGGTTCTGGAGTGTGTAAAAATGATTTATACTCTGTGTTGCTTGGGTAGAAGTGGAAATTAAACTGGAAGAACACTGTTGTGCTTTGGGTGTTGTGTTGTTGTGAGAAACTTTTTATTTCTGACAACAGAAATTAAAAGTCTAATTAATTAATTTAAAAAAAGCCCCACAATGACTTCTCCGACACCAGCAGGTTTGATTTGTACACTATCTATCCTGGCCAACAAAGAGGCGCAGATGTCCATTCAAGGAATTGCCACAGAGGAGTTATCAATAACCTGACCTTCCATACAATCAGTACGAGTCCTCTGCACATGATACTAGAACAATCCCAAGAGGGATTGTTCTAACTGGAATTTTATCTCGGATGACTTTCAGACGGCCACCTCCAGCTGATGGGAAATTTGGATCGGAAGGTCTCGTCAAATCTAGTCTTAATTATACTGGCAGTAAAGGACAAAATTGAGC